GATTCAAAGCATGAGACTATAAATGAAAAAACCGTACAACTATTAATAACCATTAATACGATTAAGGACAACAAACATCATACTAGCATAGAAACTGATAGGTATAAAACCAAATCAAAACCAGAAGGAATCCACTAATCTACGGGAAACAGAGAGGATCATGAAAACTTGAAACTGAATAGGACTGGCGTGTATTTACTGTGCTTTCAACAATAATAACAAAATCTTTTATGTTGCTTAGTTCAAACAAGATCAAAATTACTTTACTCAAAACAAACCTGAACATAGTACCAAGAACCATGGCAACATGAAAGTATTTATTGAAAATCAAAAAACTGTACATGATAGGCGATAAATTGGGGTAGAAAGCACATAGGTAGCTGAGGCTGATCTTGGAAGGGATGTGTACAATGTGAAGACAAAGCGTTAGTGCAAAATCGCGCTACTAACGGACAGCACAGATTGAANATTGTGCCTAGGGAAACGTAAACTAATTGGCGAAAATGTGGGTAGAGGGTTCGGACTGACACCGAGGAAGAGGTAAAAACCAACAATGGTTATTGTGTTTTCCAGCGGAGAGAATGATTGATTGCTTTAGTATATGGTGCGACTGTGTCGATATTGTAACGGCATAGGTTGATCCTGGAAGAAATTATTAACCGTGATCTGCCAAAGTAGTCAATACACTTACTCCGTGCCAATAAACAACCCGAACAAACTTGAGGACGTGATCACGACCGAGGAAAGTTCCATCTTCGGTGTTTTGGATGAAAATGTCAATCTGTTTGGATTGAAAGGAAAGAGATAATGCAATGGAGATGGAGAGTACACATTTCAATCTAGAGAAAACTAGCTTAACCAGCGTTACCAGCAACTCGGTCAATAATCTGGAATGCAATGACGGCAGGGAAACCATTGATATTGGTTCAGTGTTGCTGTCTTAAGTGACTACAGCTGGCCTACAACAAAACCTTTTCATTCTATCTCAGGAGATGATGTACATCTGCTTTATTTTGTTTCTGCTTCCAGGTTTTCGTACTGTATCCTGTGGGGCTTCCTTCATGCGGAAGTAATGACTGTGGACAAGACGTGGCACGGCAGACGATCGTAAGGTATGAATGAATATGCGGGGAAAGAGACAGAGATAGTAATTTACTTCGAAAGGTGAAAGCATAGCCACCCATTTTTACCCTTATTCTTTCCAACCGGAATCATCACTGCCTAAATTCATAAACTTACCAATGAACAGTGGAGGAGCATGGGAGGCTTATCATGCAATCAAATCAATTTATTCACTATCCACTTGTGACAAGTAATTAGGAACGTTTCCCAGCAAGTAATAACCTCAGAGGCTAGTGTTGAGATGAGCGATGTTAGGTGTTCACAACGAACTTGTAGTCTATCGTATAGGTGCAAAGTGAAACTGTGCAATCAGCTGCCCGGTTTTCAAGTGAGCAGTATACTTGCGTACAACTTGGGAGGTCCCGAGCTGAAACGATGGACGCGCAGTGCTGATGAGACCCAACAAGGTTGAAACAGCTGTCTAGTGGTTCCTAGTTTCTCAGTTTTGTCTTCCTTCGCTTCGTATAGGGAGAAAACCACGTAATTATTCAAACCTCATTTAAGAAATATATATAAATAAATGAGGGACAATATCACTTTTGGTGATTAAATATATTTCGACCAACACGGTATCCAAAAAACACATTCAGTTAGTTTATGCAACCTTTACCCATGCACTTTCCTGCACCTGTTTTGTTGCTGTCTTCTAACTGCCCATTTGGATGAGGCAGTTGGAGAGAGACAGGAAAATTGAAGTAGAATTGAAGAGATAATGCGGAATTTCAGTGGACTACGGTTGTAGAGTAATTGGAAAGATGCACGAACACCACTGCTTACGACACTCTAATCACCGGTTAACACGATCTCGAGGTCTCCATCCGAGGAGCCTAACGCGACCTAAATCACTGAGTGCTCTGGTCAGGGTTTTCATACCCTCGTACCACGTCTCAGTTTGACCTTTTTACACCCACAACGTGCCTCGACAAACATCGCGTGCCGTGGCAACCTGTTTCCTGGCATATGTAATAAATGCCCCAAAACAACGTAATCTATGGAGGTCGACCACTTGTTCCAGTGGATGACCGCGAATACCTTGAACTCTGTGCCTAAACTTAGCATTGCTCGCCCGGTCGCCCCATCAGATTCGCACAATGCTGTGTAGACAGCGGTGTTTCAACACCGACATTCTATCTTTATTCTGTTTTCTTAATAACCAAGTTTCCATGCCGTATAGCCGAAATGGCCGAACTACCACAGATTATACTCAAAACTTCACAGGCAGCCGGATTTCGCGACGGCGCCACAGTTGTCTCAAGTTGGCAAATGCCAACCGAGCTTTCTGCATGCGAGCTGACACTATTTACGATGCGCCCACTGGGTGAAATATAACTATCCAAATCACAAAACTTGTCTACTTCCTATACTACTACTTCCCCAGTCAGGGTGAGTTTGGGGGCTGAACCAACTCAATCATGTACAAGCATTCTACACTTTGAAGGTGCAAAACGCATACTGAACATGGCTACGCTGGCACACAAACTGTCCAAAAAAGCTTGCAACGTATCTGGATTTTAACTTATCGGGAAAATATCATTCGCATACTCCAGATGAGATAGTTTGCGATCTGGGAGAAAATCGATGCCACGATCCTCGCACGAGCATGATCAAATCTGTAAAGAAGTTAAATAGAAACGGAGATAGGCGACCCAGACGAACACCGCTTTCTGTGGTGAACTTGGGCAAAAAAGTGCCGTAATATCGGGCTCAACCTCGGCTATTAGTGTAGAGGAATAGTAATATTAACTGAAAGACATTCATTGAAATTAACCAATGAAATTCGAGACTGAAATTGAAATAAACATCATGGCTGTGAACACGTGATTCCGGATGGAACATACTGGAAATGACACAGTTAAGACGTACGCCAATAAGGGTTTCTCTCGGAACCGTAAGAATAGTTAATTGATTAACGATCACGTTATTGGTCTAGTGTAGTTTGACGAAATATGGTCTAATAAATCATAAATTGAATGTGATTCACTTACGTCTCGAAACCTGGAAATGTCATGCAAAACTTGTTGGGCCACATACTTTCGCAAATGTGTAACTGTTGCGCGAGATGAAAGCCGTAGAAATTTGTGCGCCAACGGTTGCAAGTTGTCTGAGCCTGGTTCCAACTGTATATTAACCTGTTCGTCATAACGATGATGGTCAGGGTCTTGCGCGTTAGCTGCAGCTGCAGCTGAAGCGGCATCTGTTGTTTCATGACTCAGAGATGTCAGTCCAGTCGAGTTCGAACGACGGTCGTTTTGATCTCGACCGAGATCTGTTGACAAACGTTGCATGCAATAATAAAACATTAAAAACAAACTGTCAGCTTGAATAACGACAATGAGAACCTCGGATCGTCCTAAATTTCAAGTTAGATTGAGGATGAATTAATGTATCTTATCATGAGTTCATTTCACGTAAGTGAAGACCATGAAGGTTACGTAAAGCTTAACAAAACGAAAAGCTACGTGTTCACTAAAAGGAGACGTTTGTTGTGTGATGAATAGGATGAAATCAAAACGTCCAATCCTACAGTCGCTTGTGTATCCGGGATTCTCGAACTGCATCAAAGGTAATAGCAATCGTGAAAAGACGATAACACGTTGCTTACATCAACGATAACGTTTCGGTCAAGAAGCTGTACCTTCTCTAGGGAGATAAAAGCAATGCTGACCGCATCGCAGTTGTTTTCATCCTGGGGTGCTACGAAAGAAACTATTGGACGGCCAGTTGCAGCATTTTCAGGAGAAAAACAGACGGCACAATCAGCGAGCCAACACACAAAACATTATCCAATAATCATACAAGATAGAATAAGATACACCGTCAGCCGGTCTTACCTTTTCTGGTCTGAGGACCCGGAGCCGGTGTTGCTTATATGTGACCAGCAAATGCGAACTGAGCTTTCAATTTATCGGCAAGTTCGAACCTTACACTTTATGGCTTAATAGGTATGGCTTTCCATACATATATCGAAACAAAAATCTTCCGTCGCAAATAACCAGAAAACACCATTCGTGATTTTAGCTTCTCTTCCAAACGTGCACCACCGAATACCAAGGTTCATTTACTTCTGCGCAACTCAAAGTAATTCTGACTAGGGAACGGAAAGTACAGAAAGGGTGTTTGAGCAGACCATTAATCACACAACAAACCCACTAACCGGAAACTATTGGTCGCAGTTCAGATAGATATTAAGAAATGAACCTCGCTGGTTGCTATCTAGCTCAGTGTTCAGAAATCAAATAAGTGTGGCAGTTGGATAAGAGGCAGCTTTGCTGTCGTCCGGTTTAATACCAAGCCTAACCTAGCAGGACTTTATGTGGTTCACCATTCTCAGTCCCGGGGATTAGGTTGCCGGTTTCCATCATTGAACAGCAGGTCCCTGTGACTATGGGGTTCACCCCGTCTGCTGTTCGTCACACTAAGGTTGTCATAAAAAGTGTGAGGGTAAGCCTAAACTAAAGAAATATGAGCAATAATGAGTTTTCATAACCACTAATGTCTTGCCAAAAGCTTTGTATCGCGACAAGCTAATAGCGGCTTGAAAGAAGCAACGGGATCAATTATGCGTCCACTTGTCATGACGTTTAGCAATAGATGACCCCGGAGTTCTTGTTACCGCCCGACTATCGGGTAAGGGTTGTATCAGACTTTATCAACCACTTTGAAAGGTGATTAGACATTGGTCGTGATAGTTGATGGTTAGTTCTGCCCACGTATGCGTCACCGCAACTGCAAACGAACTGGTGTACTGTGTGAGACTGAACCGTCTATGTTTAAATCAACTTTGCAAGTAGAAGCAATAAGTCGAAGTTCAGCAGATGAGAATGTGCGGTTTAGGAC